ATTTATTGGTCACTGCCTGCATGCCAGGCTCTGTACTCATTGTTTAAATCTAGATATGGACAAACCTAACATGGTTCCTGCAATTTGACAATTTAGCCGAATAATAGTCCCATTTATTGAATACTAAATATATAGCAAGAAACTTACATTCTTTATTTCATTTTATATTCTTGAGATGGATATTATCATCCTCTTATTAAAGAAGAGGAGACTAAGGTTCAGAGAGTTGACCTAACTTTCTCCAAGTTCACTCAACTGGCAACCAAGGTCTATCTGGCTCCAGAGCTCTTAGCTACTGGTACACCCTGTCTGCATTCCCCTCCGAGGAGACGCAAATGCACGTTGCTACATAAAAGGCCATGAAAAGTTCCATAGTAAAGAAAGCTATTTAACTTGGTATGATTTTGCATATTCCAAACTTATTACAGAGCCCCTCCTTTTTGAGGGAAGGAAGCAGCACCCCTATAAATGAGCCGTAGAGTCTTTCTGCAGAATATAACCACAACACCAAAGAGAATTGAAAACATATGTCCACACAAAAATGTGTACACTAATGCTCATGGTAGCATTACTCATAGTAGCCAAAAAGAGAAAACAACCCAAATGTTCAACAACAATATGTCAATCAACAAAACGTGGTAAATTCATACGGTAGGATATTATTGAGCAATAAGAAAGAATTATGTACTTACACGTGCTACATCATGGGTGGACCTTGAAAACATTATGCTAAGTGAAAGGAGCCAGACAGATTACAATCATGCACTGCATAATACCGTTTTGGTCAATGATGACAGCATACACAACATTGGTCCCATAAGATTATAATACCATATTTTTACTATATTTTTTCTATGTTTAGGTATGTTTAGATACAAAAATACCATTGTGTTACAATTGTCTGCAGTATTTCAGTACAGTACACTATACAGGTTTGTAGCTTAGGAGCAATGGTCTATACCATATAACAGCTTAGGTATGTAGGAGGCTAAGAGCCTGCACCCTTAGCTCCTAGCTATAGATTTGTGTAAGTACATTCCATGCTGTTCACACAATGGTGAAATTACTTAACGATGTATTTTTCAGGATGCATCCTGTTATTAAGCAACACATGACTGCATATGATTCCGCTTGTACAAATATCTGGAATAAGGAAACCCATAGACACAGAAAGTGGATTCATTGTTTCCAGGAGTTGGGAGGAGGGAAGGAAAGGTGAGTGACAGCTAATGGTTGTGGGGCTGGGGAAGTATAGATAGTGGTGATTGTTGCACAATTTTGTGACTATACTAAAAACCACTAAAATGTCCATGTTAAAGTGGCAAACTTTATGGTAGGTGAACTATATGTCATTAAAAAAAGGAGAATACAATCACAACTTAGTGTATTAGGAACAACAGTCCACTGGTTCCTGGCTTACAGACTATCTGTTCTGCCATTTTACACTGTACAATTAGGGGGGCATTGGAGCTCCTTGGATTTGCTGTCCCGCCCTCAATAAAAAGCCTCCTAAATCCTAAGCTGAAAAAGCAAACAGGTACAGAAGAGTCAGGCAAGTTTGGAAACTGAGGAACATCAAAGTGTCAGTGCAGGTGGTGTCACACCCACCATTGGACTTTTATCTGCTAGATCTGCTTAGCTTATTTAGACAACAGTTGAGAAGGCAAAATTCCTAAACCCCTTCTCTTCAGAAGGTTTCAATTCCAACAGTTGATTATGCCATGTACTTGGCAGGGAGGTCTCATTTTGTTTGAATGACATTGGATTCACCTAGGTTTAAGGGAATTATAAAACAATAAGCCACTGAATTATAGAATTTTAGAACCAAAAAGGACTCTGGAGAGAGATCACCTGGCCTGATTCTCTTACTTTGGCTATAGGGAAACTGAGAAATGCAGTGGCTTGCCCAAAATCACATAGCCAAGCATGGCTGAGACTGCTGGCTGTCTTGCAATATCTGTCCTCCCCTTTCCTGGAAATGCCGCTCCCTCTGCCCCTCACAGCCTTTCAGCTGTGCACATGATTGTCTAAAATAAAGGCTATATTTCTCAGTGAGATGTGGTCCCATGACTGAGTTCTTGCTAGTGGAGTGTAAATGGAAGTGAGGAATTCCTGGGAAGTACACTTAGAGGTCAGGGGTTGGGGTGGGGCATATCCTTCTTCTTTCCTGCTGGCTGGGTTGCAGATTAGATAGCTAATGTTCAGGCAGCCACTTGGACCATGAGGTGGAAGTTCCATTTGGAGAACAGGAGAGCAATGAGATAGAATGCTGGGTCTCTGATAATTACAGAGTTGTCATATCAGCTCTGGAATATTCCCCTGCAGACCTTACATGAAAGAGAAATAAACTTCTATTTTTTTCAGCCACTGTTATTCAACTATAAATTCTATCATTTACAGTTGAATTGAATTCTAACTGCTATAGAATGTAAATAATGGAACTGGGCTGGGAACTCAGGTTTCCTGAATCCAGGCACAGGACTATTTGGTATTATGCTTATTATTTTTTAAAATTAATTAATTTACTTTTAGAGATGGAGTCTCTCTATACTGCCCAGGCTAGAGTGCAGTGGCCATTCACAGGTGTGATCAGAGCTTACTGCACCCTCAAACTCCTGGGCTCAAGTAGAAGCTTGGCATCATCTCTGGCTTGTTTATTACTTTTAATAATAAAAGCCAAACTGTGCTAAGTGTTTTGTATATAATAGTGCTGATAATTTTTGAGTGCTTACTATATGCTAGTCACTGTTTAAATACTGTGTGAGTATCGTCAACTCATTTAACCCTCATGTCAACTCACTAAAGTTGATCTATTATTATCATTTCCATTTTATAGCCAAAGGACCTGAGGCATGGAGAGATTGAGTAACTTGCCCAAGGTCACATATTTAGTAAGAAGTAGAGCTGAGATTTGAATCTAGGCATTTGGGTTCCAGAGCCTGCCTTCTTAGCTCCTGTATTACATTCTCTTTTATGATGTGAGCTCCTCATCACGCTCTAAACTCCTTTTACAGAGGAGGAAACTAAAGCAGACAATTGTCTAACCATTGGCACAAAAATCTCTCTGCTAGTCAGTGCACCAGCCAGCGTTAGAAGTGAGACTCCTAAGTCCTGGTCCAGTGCTCTCTCACCAGACCACCCTGCTGCCTCCAAGGCCACCTGAGCAGACACATTATCTCCACCCTCTGCCTCCCCCCTCCAATACACACACACACACACACACACACACACACACACACGCACACGCACACGCACACGCACACACACGCATGCACACACACAGACACCCAGCAGGCACTCAGACATTTTTGTGGCCAGGATGGCTACAGCCTCCTTTGAAAAGCAGCCAGCTTTGCCCTCCACCAAATAACTTTGTTTTATTTATAGTCTCCTGTTCAGAGCTTTTGAACTGGCTGCTCATTCCAGGGAAGATCTTGATAACAACTGTTCCTTGGAGTGGGTTCATAGGAAACAAGGTGAATAAACACCACAGAGCCCCTGCCTGTCTAGCAGAGCTTTGCTCCTGGGGATGTTTATAAGTCGGCACTGGTGGTGTCTGGGCGCAAAAAGACTTTGAATTCAAAATGGCAGTTTGGACATTTTTCACTTTTTTTGTTTTAATTCAAAAAAGTTTACCCTTTGCCTTCAATAACCTCAGGGCAGAGGCAAAAGAGAGAGATTATTTTTATCCAGAGTCTTTTCTACTACTTACCTTTTTGCTTTCTTTGCTCCCTGTCTAGCTGGGGACCTGGATGCTTAGGACCTAGGACCAGTTTCTGTAGTGACTATGGGGTGGGTGTTGGGAGGAAAGACACTCCATGAATTTGTAAGAGCTAAATTGGCAGAGGGGTCAAATGGCATTTCAGAACAGAAAATTGCAAAACAAAACAAAACTAAACTAAAATGAAAGAAAAGAAATAAAGAAGGGAAAGTCAGAAAGAAAAGAAAGTCCTAATATCAAAAATGACCCATGACTATGTCACACATATCTGGAATATTATTCAGGCTTTAGCAGTTGCTAGTTACGTGACCTTTGGGAACGTGCCTCAGTTTCCTTTTTTTTTAAAACGGTGGATAAACTCAGAGGAGTATTGTGAGGATTGGCACTAACCATGAATGAGAAATACTGTGTCAGATTCAGAGAGGGCCGTCACTCACCCTCTCATTAAAGGGTAGCTAATGGTAGCTGTCATTATGGCTTCCTTTGTGATCCCTCCAGGCCTAGAGGATATGAAATCGGGGTGTTCATGAAAGCGAGCCCCAAGGGGGGGGGAGGGTAGGTAGCAGGATGGTGATCTTAGCTCTCAAATACTTTCCTTTGTGTTGAGTTAATAATCTCTATCAGGAACTGCTGTGGTAACATGAGGAGGTTTCTGTATTGGGGTTCCCAAAATGGCTGACAAAGGGTGGCAGAGGTCCTCAAGGTGGGGCAGAGCTGAGCCACCATGTAAGTCCTATGAAGCATCCAGGTGGCTTTTGTGTGGGCATGTCGGGTCTCCTTAAAGGTCCAAGGGGAGAAGAAAGGGCCTTCATCAAGGATCATATGGGGACGTGGGTGGTGTGAGGAAGAGGGTCCGTAAATAACTTACTGGAAGGGAAGGGTTTTTCAAAGGGAAAACGTTTTCATCGAGGCCTGAGTGGGAGACAAATCGTCTCCATATGAGAGCTACTGGATGGGAGGACTCCACAGGGGAGGAATAGGTGAAGGTTTCTTCGGGAGGGCTTGAGGGTCTTCAAGATAGGGTTAGGGTCTCTTCAGGGGGCTGGTAGGTGGAGGTTTCTCCGGGAAGAGTGGGTGGAGGTGTATAAGGGCTTGCACCAGGAAGCCGAGGTCCTAAGAGAACTCGCTCAGGGACACTGGCGGGGAAAGTGCGGTTCCCGGACCCCGACGGCCCCGCCTCCCGCTAGCGGACTACATTTCCCAGCAGCGCCCGCGAGCGGCGGCGGCGGCAGCGCGCGCGGGCGGGCGGGGGCGGCAGTGTGAGAGGCGGAGGGGGCGGCGCGCGCCGGGGACGCGCGCCGGCGACCATGGCGTTCGCCGGGCTCGAGCGAGTACTTTAACCCCTGGAAGCGGCGGCGGCGGCGAGGGAGCGAGCCTCGAACGGGCGGGCCCCAGCCTGAGGGAAGGGAGGAAGGGGCGGGGAGAGCGCCAGAGGGAGGCCGGTCGGCGGCGGGCGGGCGGGCAGCGCAGCGCCAAGCGGGGCCCGCGGGCCCATGAGGAGGCCCGGGGACCATGGGCTCCAGGATCAAGTGAGTGCGGCCGGGCCGGGCGGAGCCGGGCCGGGCGCGGGGCGGCGAGGCCGGGCAAGGGTTGCAGGCCGCGGGCCGCGCGGGGGACTTGTTGCCGGGACCTGAGGGGCGCCCCGCGTGCGGGCGTCACGCGGGGAGGGGGACGGTTGCCATGGCGATCCAGGGAGGCGCGGGGGCGGGGTGCCCGCGGGGTGAAGGGGCTCCGGTGGTCAGGTGTCCCCTTCCACCTGAGGGTGGGAACAGCTGAGATTACAAGGTGGCCCCCCCCAACCCCGGGTTTACAGAGAGCCCCTGAAAATAGTCATGCAACTGCTGGGAGGGGGAGTGGGAAATCTCTGGAAGCAACTCCCCAAACGGGTGTGTTTGGGCGCCCCTGAGAGTTGGCAGGTCCTGAGAGGTTGCAGTGTGGCTGCTTGAGGCCTGCGGCTCCCACAGAAGTCGCGTGAGATTCTTAGAGGGAGGGGCCACTCATGGATTTAAGGTCTGGATGGCCTGGGGAGGAAGGCCGTTCTCCCTTCTCCCATTTCTCCCTCTTATCTGTGAAAGTCTCCACACAGCAAGGGCCAAAGGCTGTGAAGGAAGATGCCTCTGTGTTGTAACTGAGCACCTGATGTTGATAATGGTTGGAAAGGCTTTGTAATCCAATCTGGCAGATTCCCGCACTCATTCATTCACCTGGAGTCCCCGGTGGGGAGTTAGTTTGCCGGGCAAATTGTTGAGACATCTAACTTCAGAACCCATTGAAACACTGTTGCCTTCCTTCTAGACAGAGAAGTTGACTTTGCGAAGTGCAACTTTTATGCAGTCCAATTTGGGTGTGTTGCTTTGAGCTCTATCTCCCCTCTCAGCCAGGTCCTCTTCTGGCCTCTCCCTTCCTCAGCCCCAGAACAGGAGATGCTTTATCTCTAATTACTAACAAATGTTCACTTTTTCTCTATGACTAATAGAATTGTTTAAGGGCATTAAAAAACAAAGTCGACAACGTTGGCTGTTTTGTAAAACAATTTTCATAGAACATTTTAAACTCCCTTACAGGAGAGTCTATGGAATGTGTTTATTTCAGCATTTTGAGAATTGTGCTAGGGAAGTTTGAAAGGGGAAGGGCTTTAAGGGTGATATCTAATAATTATTTAAACATTACATCTCATGTCCAGATTATGCTCATGCAGTGTGACCCTTGCCCAGCCTTGCAGTCCCCTGAGTGGTTAGGCTTCCCATTTACAAAACGTTTCTAATATGTGCTGGAGCAGACTTGAGACATCTGTTAAATGAAACTGGAAAAGTTTGCTTATGATGATGAAAATGGAAGAGTTGGATGAGCACTCTGTTAATTCTTTATTTTTGTGGAAATGAGAAAAAAAAGTTAGAAGCATGCTCCAAACAAGAGCTTGAGAGGCTAGGGAGATAAAAAGATGTAGTTTGTGAAGCATTAGGATTAAAGAGGCACTCCAAGTTTAGCTCCTGCTTCCAAATAAGAGTTGTAAACTTGGATTTCAATAGCACTTAGAAACACTTTCCAAAAGCCACCTTAAAGTCGCAGAGTATGCATGAGGACACTTACCCTTCTTGTTACAGAAAAGTTTAGAAACTTGCCTGACATGAGGCAGTGTCAGAACTAGCAATAAAATCCAACAGGTAGAAGTTCCTGTGATTAGCCATCCAGTCTCATTTGCTCTTGAAGGCAGCAGGTTGACAAATATATTTCTCAAGTGTTTTGTGGAACCCATCACTGTAATTCTGAGCACTTGGTCAAGGGAATTTACTAAGGCATGAAATTGTATTAAGCGTGAAATTAGTATGAAGAATAGCCTTATTGATCTTGAAACTAGACTGCTCTGTGATAAAAACTTAGGCTTGGGAAATATGTTAGCTTGTGAAACTGAAAGAGAATATGAAGAGAGAAGTTAAGAAAAGTAGTTGTGATTTATAGTTACTGTTGATTGTGCAACTTCTGCCTGCCGCTAGGAAGGGTGATGGACAGTTTGAGAGGAAACCGTCCTCTTAGGTGCTGCCCTAGTTGTTGGAGAAAACAGAGCTTTGGTTACAATTGGCCATTCCATCGTGGCAGGGCAGAACAGACTTTAACTCAAGGTGTTCACCTGGCTGAAGTGAAATCTAAGTGTGCAGGCTCCATTGTGTAGGACAGTCTTGGGGATGGGGGCTCCCTGTGTTTTTTCTTGTTTATCTCTGATGTGGCTGAGTCAGAAGGACAGTGTGGAATCAGATTTAGGTTCACATTCCAGCTCTTTTTCATGCTAACTATGAAACTTTGCACAGACTACCTCTTTCAGCCTTAGTTCCCTGAGGGCAAAATGGTGAGGACTATGTCCAGGTTGGTCCTTAGAAGCAACAAACACAGCATAAACGTGAGTGCCAGGCCCACATTTAAACTCTGTAATTAGGTTTTTTTTTTTTTTTTTTTTTTTTTTTTTACCTTCTCTATCAAAAGACTATGAACATCTGTATTTTATACTAGAAATATGAGAGAAAAGTATGTTTCAGGTAATGGAGAAAGTTTTAATGATCAAGGAATTAGATTGATAACATGCAGAGCAGGACTTAACATTGTCTCATTATTAAAAAATAAAAGTTGATTAAAAACAATATGTGTAATTATGAAACTGGTGTCTTTTGTATGATCAGTGTGTAAAGCATGTGCGTTGCTAGGCACAGGTGTTGAGATTTAGTTCTTGATCAGACTTCCCTTTCAAGCTAAGCCTGGTTGAGCACAATATGTCAGGCACCATGGTAATTGTTAACGTGAACCATTTCATCAAAACCTCACAACTGTCCAATAGTGTAGATGCTATTTATTAGCCACTATTTTTCAAATGAGAGAATGGGAGTTGATAGGCCTAAGATGTTTGCCTTGATGCCACTTCCCCATTGTTACACGCCCAGGCTAGACCAGGTGCCGCTTGTCCATGTGTCTGTGGCCCCTTATGAATATAGCATAATCATAATACTAAATCTAGCTCCTTGTCTGTCTCCCATACTAAGTTGGACATAAACTTCTTAAGAGCAGAGACTCTCTCATTTGTCTTTGAGCTCCCTGTGTCAACCTTAGTGCTTGGCACATGGTTGTTTAAGAAATTTGTTAGAATCTGAATTAAGATCCTAAGACTGAGTTGACTATACATAGATTGAAAAGAACAATGTGCTACTTCAACCGTTGAGGAGAAAGAGTTTTTATATTTTATAAGTTTTTAAGCCAAATTGCACTGGTCTAGGCAGATCTTTTCTTTTGCTAAGGAGTATTTAGTTCATGTTCATGTTAATAAAGGAACATTGTCTTGCCTCAAACCAAACATCTCATTGACAAAGGAAAGAGAAGATCTTAGTATGCAGGTAACACCCTGGAAACCTAAACCTTAAACCTGAGCAGACATTTATCTAGAGGGATAAAAGGAGCAGTGGTAACTGACAATCTTCGACAGGTACATTTAAATCTTATTTAGTGTTTGAGTGATCCCAGTGGACTGGAATGTGGTTAATATGAAACAATTTAACTGATAATGCAGACACACAGCAGGAAACTGTGTGGCAGTTTAATATTGCTTGTGGTGACATCCTAGAAATTGCTTCCAGGCACCAAATGCAGGAAGTGGGTTGTAAGTAATCGAAGGAAGTATTCTAAGTGAGTTTGAAGAAACCTGACATTTATGGAGTCAGAGAAAAACATACTCTAAGATTTGAAGGCAGGGGGACAGGACAGGGCAACTGATTTGGCTTTGTGATGGTGTTTATTCTATGTTAGCCTGTATACCTGTCTTCTGTCCCTGTCAGACTGTGACCTCTTTGAGGTTGGTGGCTAAGAAATTTATTCATTAATCACCTAATATATAACTAAGAAGAATGTCAAGCACATATTAGACACTTAATAAATGTTAGCCATTATTACTGTTATCATCATAGTTAGTAGTAGCAGTGTGCCTGTCAGTGTGCTAAGTACTATGGACACAAAGATGAAAAGATTTTTCTTTGCTTTAATGCTTTCTAAAGTAGTAGAAATAAATGTAAAACAAAAACAACCCCTACCTGCTTCTCTCCCCACCAAAAAGCCCAAGTATAATACAATAAGATAATTGCTATGATGGAGATGCAACCAGTGATGAGTAGATGGGTAGATGAGGAAGAGACTGTCTTGGGGCAGGGGTGTCAAGAAAGGAGGGCATCACCAAGGAGATGTTTTAGCTGAGGGATGAATAAGGGTGTGGAAGGGGTAGGGGTGGTGACAGAGGGAGTAGAGGTGGTGGTGATGGTGGCAATGGTAATATCAATAGAGGATGCAGTGTGTATGAGAACATGCATATGAAGGAGATAAGAGATTGCTGTATTAGGTACTTAAAAGCCAGAATGGTAGACATTGGGAATTATAAAGGTGAACAATTTGGATCCATTCCTATTCTCATGGTGCTTATGATCTGGTGGATCTGCCAGATAAAAAGGCAGGTAAAATTAGTGTAAAGCTATGTGGATGTGCTATAAAGGAAGCAAACCAGATGCTGAGAGAATAATGGGAGTGGCTGTTCTATTTTAGATGGAGTGGCGAGGGACGGCCTCACCGTGGGGATGACATTTTAGCTGAGACTTAAAGCATGAGGAGGTATTAGTCATGTAGAGGGACTAGGCAAGACTTTTTATTCCAGGCAAAGGGTGGAGCACACACAGAGTCCTCAAGGCAAGAAAGACACTAGACATATTTCAGGAACTGACAAAAAGCTGGTGGTTTTGAGTAGTGACTGATGGCAGAGAGGCTTGAGGAGAGGTCAGAGACTGAGCCTGAGCAGGGCCTTATAGATCATGGTAATCTGAAAACTGTTTTATTAAGAAATGATTCATGTACTATAAAATTTACTCTTTTAAAGCATACAATTAATTGGTTTTTTAGTGTATTTACAAAAGTATTGATCACTATCATCTAATTCCAGAATGTTTTCATCACCCCAGAAAGAAATCCCATACCCATTAGTAAGGAGTGGTAATCATTCACCATTTTC